CCGGTCCCTAAAACCACAAATTAATATCGTCATTTTTTCATTTCTTTTTAAACGTAGGATTTCGATGTCTAGTTTCCACCTCTAGGACAAGGTGCCAACCTTTGGGTTTCTGCCATCTGACACATGTAAGCATATATACTGCCTCTGTAGGAATTTGCAGGATGGGGACATCTTGTTATCGTTAAGGGGTAGGGCAAGGTGTTACTCAGAGACTCTGAAGTCATTAAGCACTAGTGGAGCTCAAACAGGTGCATTATAAGGAGTGTTGGGAATAAATCATGAAATTCCTGAGATAAGTGGAGGGATGTTTGTGTGGGAAAGGAGTTAGTCACACTGCTTAACTTAAGGATAAAGTTCAGAGTCCTAATGTTAAAATCAGTCTCCAGAAAAAAAGGATAACTTTAGAGATACTACATTATGATGCCACAGGAACAATTACTACCTACTATCTTGAATCTTCTATGACCCTTCAGTAGGGAAGCACCTTGTGATTGGAAAATGCTACATAAGACTACTAGGGTTGTTCCCCACCCTGCTCCCAGCTCCTCTAATAAAGGAGAATGAAGAATGAATTCAGAGCAGGAGTGTGGGTTGCAACAAGTCTTTTCTCAAATCCAAGGGGAACAGAGATCAGAAGGGTGCCCTGAAGAGTGAGACCTCTCATTTCTGTTTTTCTGCATGTCTAGTTAGCATGTACTGACGTCAAGGAAAAAAATCTGTGTGTAGGTGATAGAGCAGAAATACTCAGTATTCTCTCCTATGCTTGTTAACGTGCATACTATTTCCAGCCTGCCTTTAACCACCCGTTTCTGATAGCAGACAATAACAGCTCCTGAAGGGACTGGGGAATTCAATAAATGCTTATTACTTAAATTACTGCTTGGCTTAGTCAGTGAGTATCAGGATGCTCCAAAATAGGCATCCTTTCCTGCTTTAGGGAGGAAGATCCCTGATCCCAAAGCCTGGGGAAATGTGTCAGATTGAAAGACATGTACTTTCTAATGGTATACTTCACTCAAAATGGATTGCCACATTGAATTCTCACCTCTCCCATGGAAGGGTATGGGGATTAATGAAAGGTAAGTAGGACTAAACTGCCATTTGCTCTGTCTGTCTTGACTAGCTGCAAGACCTGTCATGATTCCTTGTGGCCACAGCTTTTGTAGAGCCTGCATCACCCACTACTGGGAGCCAGTGGTCAAAGACTTCAGCTGCCCAATGTGTCAGCATGTTTCTGCTCAGCAAGTCCAGCATAACTGAGACAGCCAGGCAACTGCCTTTTGTCAAGGAAAAGAAGCAGAATGAGAAGCTTTGCTGCCAGCACCATAAGGTCATTAATATCCCCTGCAAGGAGAACCAGGAAGCCATGTGTGTGGTGTGTGCAGTCTGCCACAGCCATCCCTATCATACAGTAGGGCCCCTGAACGAAGTCCCCCCCCCCTCAAAAAAAAAAAAAACGAGGTAAGCAAAGGGTGTCTCCCAGAAGTACTGCTAGAAAGCATTTCCTTCACAGGGTTTGAGATATCTGGCATTCCACCTCAGTATTTTGAACTCCTAACCATCTCATCCTAAAAAAGGGTGGAAGTAGAGCAGTTCAGACCCACCAATACTGGTTAAGTCACAGGAATGCAGCAGAACAGTCTAGGAACAAGTGTTGCATCTCTAGCTTGACTTTGACACTAAATATCTGAAAGGGGTGCTAGTGTCTAGAGAAACTCTAGAGAAACTGTGTTCAAGCACCACAGTCTGGAAGTGGAGTCTGGTGATCAGAACATGAGTAGATTATTAAAAAGGATATATGACCTTCCCAGTTCTGGGAAGAAGTTTAATCTTGGCATAAGAGCTGAGTGTAGGCTCGATGATTGCTGGCTCCTACATACTCTAAGCAGAGAAGTGGAATTCAGAATGAGTTAGATTCCACTCTCCTCTGCAAACAGGGAGGAAAAAGACAGTCTCTGCTTCAGAAGGAGGTGAGTATGTGCTGAGGGTCAGAGTTTCATTTCTGTGATCCAGGAAAGAAACTGCAGCCTAATGGTTAGAGTGAGGAGGAACAGGAACCAAGGCAGCTGTATGTAGGCATATACCTAGGTACACCTTATGGCCAACTTGAGGTGAGCCCACACAAAACTACAGTAATGCCTCAAATATTAGAAATTGTCACTGCTCACTGGCTCTCCAGCTTGAAGCTGACAAAACATATTCCAGCAGCTGAGTGTGGTGCGGCTCACTGTCTGAGGCAGCCTAAACAAACTAGCTTTGATTGTTAGTGGCTAGAATTCAGTCTGACAAATGTATTCATTCAATTCACCCTATAGTAGATGCATGGTCAGTCAATTAGCTTTCTGGAATACTCCTGTGACCATACTGGCAATTAGGCATTTAATTCATCTAAATTTAGATGCCTGGATCCTGGACAGAATCCCAGCAATGGTGTCTGCACAAGTCGTATCCAACATTTTGGAGACTACTTGTGCAGACACAATTTTCAGGCCCCTTTTTAGGAACTGCAACTTAGAATTCAATTAATCATTTTCAAAAGCAGAAGGGAGTGTTAGAGCAAAATTTCTGATATTCCATTGAGTAATTTCTGCTGTCCCATATCTGAGAGTTGAGTCAGAAGTCTCATTTTGATTTAGAGATGCAGCAGGTTTCCTGGAAAGTTGCTCTGGTGATTGACTAGCCTCCCCAGAAAAAATTAATATAGATAGTGTAGGGCTATGTTGCTTTGACTCTTGTCTGTAGTTCTAGCTGCTGTTCAGAGGCTAAATTGTGAAGGCAGAGGTATATCGTAACTTGTATTGCTGCTGTCCACACAAGTGTTCAGAACTTTATTAACCCAGAAACAGTATTTGTAGTACATGATACAGACTATTTGGTCTGGAAAGCCAGAGGATTGCTGGAATTTAGGATTTTCATCTCATGAAAGCAAACTGCATGAAGTGACATGTCAGATAAATTGGTATATGATTCTCAGCTGGTATGATCCAAGCCTTCTTAGTGCTGGTTCAGCTTATGATCCCTTGGACCATTTTGCCTAAGTAGAATCTCTTGCCTCTCCGTCTCCAGAACAGGCTACAAGCTTGCTTGGAGGACCTGGGCAGGAAAGCAAAGGATTTGATGGAACATTTATGTACAGAGGAGAAAACGCCCAAGGAGCTGAGAGTAAGTGGAGTGAAGGGAGCAGAGCTGAGAGGAGTGGGGTAGGGGCCTTCTCTTTAGGCCCACCCAACTGGAGTGGTGTGGTGAGTTCAGAAGAGTTGCCAAGAGGAGCTCTTTCCTTCGCTGGGGGTGTTGACTCAGGTCAGTCCTCAGCTGGGAGATGTTCTCTAGTCTTCTGGTGACTTCTCAGCCCCACAGGAGTTAGTGTGGAACTGTCATAAGTGTATCACCTGTGACTCTGAGGAGCTGTGCTCTTTCCTGGAGCAAGAGAAGGACCAGCAGTTGCATTGTCTGAGAGCAGAAGAGACTGAGATCCTGGGAAGGCTGAAGACTATCACAGCACATCTGAGTGGTGCTGGTCTCTCAACACCCTCATGGTGGACGTGGAGAGATGCCCGGAGTCCAGAGCAGGGGTGCTCAAGGTATGTATGACGGGGCTTTTCCTACCACCAGTGTGTGGAGCACAGCCTTTCAAAGAAGCTCTTGATGCAATCTCTTTCTCTGAGGGGTGAAATCTATTCCATGTGGTATAGCTGATACCAACATGAGTTTGATCTTTCTTGGTGAGGAAAAGGCTGAGCTGTAAACATGGTAATGGCAGGTCTCCACCTTGGGAAGCAATACTCTATACCCAAAGGATAAAAATGGGGTATGACTCACCTACATGTCATGAGCCATACCTTACAAGTGCTGCCTTTCTTTCCATTCCCCAAAAAATAATTAGCAAAATTAATGACACCTAGGTCAGATAAAGTCCAGAACTAACAGATAAAACGATTGCTGGGCATGCAGGCACACCCTACAATATTTAGGCTGATGGGGTTTTTTGGAGCAATCTGACTTACTGTCTTCCCTCTTCTTTTCTAGGACACGCGGAGTGTCCTGCAGAGGTGACGAACCCAACTCCTATTCCTATTTGGGAGGAAGGGATGGGATGGGACAGGGAAGGAGCCATTAGTAGTTGAAGATGCAATTGCTTGGTAGGAGTGCTCCTTTCCTCTGGGGTTAATGCCATGCCAGTGTTTCAGAGCAACGTTAGACTGGCTGCACTGCACTGCAACAGAACAATACACTTGAAAGATAAAACCTAATGTGTTGGTGGTCAGTTCCATCCTTTGTCTTTTCTCTAGACCAGGATAATTGTACTGACTCTGGGCTACATCCCAGCATATGGACTGTCAGCTTTTCCCCCTAAATTTCTCCCATCCTGGTTTCTCAGTGGGAATACAGACTTTCTGTAAGCTTCCAGCATTTCAACCTCAGCATAGCAATAATTCCTAGAAGGAACTGCTGTGCTTTGTACTAGGGAATGGCATCTTCTAGACATTGCTTGATCTCATTACTAGATGAGGTCACTTCTTTCCTTAGGTATGAAGCATTTAAGAACTTGGAGCTACCCTCTGTCTCTGACCTGAGGAGGGCAATGGCCTGTTTCCCTAGGCCATTATTTCAGCTTAAGAAGATGCTGAAGAAGTGCATTGGTAATTCAGCTGTATAGAGAACTAGGTCTGGGACTGGATTCCATTCTTTGGCTCCAAAAAGCATCTTCTATTTGGTAGTGAATTCACCTGTATGTCCAGGCCTGGTTTAAAATGTTCTTTAAATGAATAAACTTCATTCTTTTCGTTTAAATGGTTGTCCTGTCAATGACCTCAATGAACAGGCTTGAGGGCTCATTTGTGGGGCCCTCCATGGAGAAACCCATTATATCAGTATATGTGCTCAACAGCACCCTGTTACCCTTTTTTTTTTTTTTTGTCCAGACTAAGTGCAGAAGTGACCTCTGGCCCCAGTATTGTTGGTCCCAGCCTGAATAAAGGTTCTAGAGTGGGGCTTGGGAGATGCAACAGATGATAGAGTATAGGCTAGCAGAGAAAGGTAAGCAGCTTCAGGAGAAAGGTGGCATAGCATAGCACTAAGACAGTTCAGGGTAGGGACTCTGAGAAGGCAATTTAGGCCTGTGGTATGGTGAGGATATGGGACATGGGGGGTTGACGGATCAGCAGCTGCCTTGTGGTGAATGGCTGTGTAACTGCTCTTCTCCAGTTGATTCTTCTGGGGTGAGGTATGTGAATCCACTCCTCCCTCCCCCTTGGTTTTCCCTGCTTTCTCATAGTCTCTGCTCTGCCATAGGCGATGTGACTCTGGACCCTCAGACAGCTCATCTCAATCTGGTGCTCTCAGAGAATCTCAAGAGTGTTTATTTCACATCCCCCAGGAGCTGCCACACAGCTCTTGGCGTTTCACCGCTTACCCCTATGTGCTGGAATTATCTGCCTACTCATTGGGCTGATACTACTGGGAGGTTGAAGTAGGGAACAAAACCCATGGGGCCCTGGGTGTCTGTAATGAGTCTATCAGCTGCTGTGTAGAGGACCCCAAGCAGGAGATGGGCTTTGGGAGGGAGCAGCTATGGAATGAAAAATATGTGGCCATGACCACACCCTTCACCCCACTGCAGCTTAGTGTCAAATCCAAGCAGGTTGGGGTCTTCCTTGACGACGAAACTGGAAAAGTCTCCTTTTATAACATGACTATCTACTCTCATATTTACATGTTTGATGTCATCTTTGATGAGCCACTCTGTCCCCTCTTCTATCCAGGCATATGCGTGGGTCATATTAACACTGACCCACTGAGTATATGTCAGCCCTTAGACTGGTACTGATAGGCTATTGCTACCCTCCTAATAGATACAATACCCAGTATACAAAAAGCTGATGGGGTGTCAAAAGGGAAATGTTTCCTGAGCAAGCCTCTGGTCCAAGTCCCGTTTTCAGCAACCAGAATCCCTGGATTTACAAGGAAGCTAAGTATGGCTGCCCCTCTCCATGTTAGACCTCCACTGCCCCTATAATCTCTAGTAATTTCTGGAACCTTGCAGAGCAGTTAGCAAACCCTAGAAGGGTGCTTTAGTCTACATCACTTTTTGTGTGTGCGTTTTTTAAAGTCCAAGTTAACTGGCACTTTGTCTGTCTGTGTTGGTGTATGTCTTCTGATTTCTGCTGTCATAGTTCAAGAATCATAGGAAATGCCATGTAAATCTCTGCCTGTTCTGCTCTTAATAGGTAATTGTTCTCCTATTTAGCAGTATAAGGCTTTTGGTCTTTTTGGCCAGTTGGCAGAAGTGAAATATGACTGGGTTGTCTGTACCTTTTCTGGAACAGAAGCTAGGGACCAAAATAGATACCTTCGGTCGTGTTGTATGGCATTAAAACCTATATTTAGGGAACTGAGCCCCACCCTTACTGTAGGTCAGGACACTGAACTCTGGGATGCTCTGTAGCATCATGATTTTGACCCAGAAAACCATTGCTTTCCTGGAGAAGGTTTTATGTAGGTTATTTAAACAGTGGTCACCAACTGACTTATAGAGAAGTCACCTGCCAGACTTTGCCGTGACAACTTAGTACACTCGCTATTGTTCAGACTCATGTGAAGAGCAAAATAGTATTTCAAATTTGTCCCTAATGGCCCCAAACTGTTAGTAGGTACAGGCATGGTCACTTCAACAGCAGGAAATCAATATCACTGAATATTTCAATCTCCTTTCTCTATATTGTCAGCAGGCAGACACCTGTGGTGCAGGATGAGCTCAGAAATAGTGTGCCACTCTCTACAGTCATAAGTCTAAGCAGAATGGCAACTGCAAAGTGCCATGGATCATGCAGACTGCTTATAGGACTGATGAGACTACCCTCCCCCCACCTTTCAAACTGTATCTTAACTTAGATGTTGCAGGTGAAGTTAAATGGGTATGATCTCAAAGGCAGTAGCTGAAGTATTTCCTTAAAGCCATCAAGTTAAATTTGACAAAATTTAGGCTCTTGTTTAAAATGCAATCTGCTTCATGTGTGAAGAGGAGAGAAATGCTTGAATGAGCAGCTGGAATGCATGGAGCTCTGCCTGGCAACAGGTGAGGGACCAGCTGAGAGCTCATGGGTCAGGACTGGTGGGCAGAACAGCAAGGGTGACTATGTAACAGGTGTCTGCTGTAGACCATCCCTTCAGGAAGAAGAAATAGAGCAGGCATTCTTCAGAGAATTGGAATAAGCTTTGTGTTCACAGGCCCTGGTCCTCATGGGGAATTTCAATCACCCTGATATTGGCTGGATGGACAACACAGTAGGGCACAAAAAACCCAGGGAGTCTCTAGAGTGCATTGAAAACAACTTCCTAACACAGGTGACTGAGAAGCTGGGGATGAAGGATACAACAAGGGGTACTTGTACCTTGTTGAGGGGTACAAAGAAGGAAGAATTGGTTGGAGGTGTGTAAGTCAGGGGCAGCCTTGCCTGCAGTGACCACAGAATGCTGGAGTTCAGGATCATGCGAGGAGGGAGCAGGGCAAAAAGCAGGACCACAGCCCTGGGCTTCAGGAGAGCAGACTTTGGCCTGCTCGGGAAGAATCCCGTATGAGATGGCCCTGGAAGGAAGAGGGGTCCAAGAGAGCTGGTTGATATTCAAGGATCACCTCCTCCAAGTTCAAGAATGGTCCATTCCAACAAGCAGGAAATCAAACAAAGGTGGTAAGAGGCCTATGTGGATGAACAAGGAGTTCCTGACTGAACTCAAACCTAAAAAAAAAAAAAGTGTATGAGAGGTGGAAGCAGGGACAGGTGACCCAGGAGGAATATAGAGGCATTGTCTGAGCATGCAGGCTTGGGGTTAGAAGAGCTAAAGCCCACCTGGAGATGAAACTGGCAAGGGACATGAAGGGCAACGAGAAAGGCTTCTACAACCTAAGCAGCAAAGGGAAGGTGAGGGAAAATGTGGGCCTGCTGCTAGAAGGGGAAGGGACACCCATTTTTTGGTGTTGGCCCTGGTGACAAAGGACACAGAAAAGGCAGAGGCACTGAATGCCTTCTTTGCCTTGGTCTTTACTGGTAAGGCTGGTCTTCAGGAATCCCAAGCTCCTGAGACCAGAGGGGAAGTCTGGAACAAGGAAGATTTACCCTGCATGGAGGAGGATCAGGTCAGAGAATGCTTAAACTGGCCATACCTAAGTCCACATGGGATATGATGGCATGTGCCCACAAGGGCTGGGGGAGCTGGCTGATGTCACTGTGAGGCCACTCTCCTTTATCTTTGGTGATCAGGTGAGATTCCTGGGAACTGCAAGAGAAAAAATGTCACCCTACCTTCAAGAAAGGCAAGAAGGGGAATCTGGGCTACTACAAGCCAGTGAGCCTCACCTCGATGCCTAGGAAGGTGATGGAGTAACTAATCCTGGACACCATTTCCAGACATGTGAAGGAAAGGTGATCAGTCGGGAGTAGACAGCACGGCTTTATGAAGGGAAAATCACGCTTAACAAACCTGACAGCCTGCTATGATGAGATCATTGGCTTGATGGGTGAGGGGAGAGAAGAGATAGTTGCTAATCTCCATTGTAACAAGGCTTTTGACCCTATCTCTCATAACATCCTCCTAGACAAACTGATGAAATACAGGCTAAATAGGTGGACAGTGACAGCTGATATTAGGGCATCCTTCACACCTTTGTTTCTCAGGCTGTAGATCAAGAGATTTAGCATGGGGGGGTCACAATCATATAAAATACTACCTCAGTTTTGCCTTGCCACTGTGAGCTATTGCACTAAGGTAGAATATAAATGCAACTGGCTGTTGCATATAGCACACTGACTGCTACCAGGTGGGAGGCGTAGATTGCTTTATTTTTATTTTTTTCCACTGTGGACTGATAGCATCCTCAGGATGTTTTGAAAGCCCCCTGCATTGTGCTTAGCTGCCATTTAAGATTTTCAGTATTTTTTCCAAGTTGTGCATTTTGTTTGCACTGTAAGCCTGAGGAGTGGAATATATCACCTCTGATTTGGATGTTTCAGTCTAAACTAGAGAGATAGAAGTTCCTTTAGATGATGATTCATGTCATTCTTGGATAATTATCTTAACATACAGGCAATAACTATTACATATGGTGGATATAAATAACAAGAAGAGTAAAACTACAAGAAAGCATGTGTGTAATAGAAAAAGTTTGAGTCCTTTGTGTCATTGACCATTCATTCCATAGATAGGAATTTCCAGCTGAGAGATTTCCAAGGGCTTGGTGTGATACCCTACAGCAGAGCAGAGAAGAAAACATACGTATACTACATCACATTCTACACCTTTTGTCTTTTCCACCTATGATTTAGTTGCAAAAGGTTCAAGAAAAGATTTCTTTCCTTAGTCCACTCTCTGTTAAAGAACTATATATAAGGCAGAGAGGAAGAGAGTCAGGAGTTTCTTGTGTCTCTGAATTTCATATTTTCCTATATAATCTCATAAGATTTTCAGGGTGCTGCAATCCAGTTGCATCTCTACATGCTGCTTTTTCTGTATAAATAACAGTCCAACTATCACCAAAACAAAAAATCTTCTAGATCAAGTATTCAGACAGACAGATATCCATGCTAAATCCAACAGAAGCATCAGTGACCAAACCTCCCTCACGCACAAAAAGGTTAACCCCTAGAGCTTCTAAACACCTTGGCCTCAGTTCCCAGCAGAGATCACCACACTATTGTCATATTTTTTTTTTCTTAACTCATTATATCAGGATTTCTTTGACACTGCTGCCGATTCCCGCTCCCAGGCAACTGTTTGGCATGCAGTTCAAAGTCACCTGCAGGTCATTTTGTTTAGAAAGAGGCTGTTGGAAACAGCTAAAGTTTTCTGAAGCTTTTATTTGCTGTGAAATAGTTTGTGGCCAAAACAATAGCACATACAGGATATCATTTAAAAATATTATTAAACCTAGTTCCAGACCTCTCACAACAGCTTGATCTTAAATGCTTTAAATAAATTTCTTTTCAGGTTTTTGATGGTGTAACTACAGAAAACATTTCCATATTGTTCTGATAGTGATAGTTTAGTCCACAATTAGTAAGAGATTCCTTCCATTCCTTCCAGGTAGCAAATGCTGTTGATGACTGCACAGTCTGTTGGTACCGGTAGCAATGATACAGTTGCCTCAGTTTGTTGGTGAATACTACATTGGTATGACCTTACCGAAAAGGGTAAGAAAGAGTATTCCAGCTGTCAACATGGACTACTGTTTCCAAAAACTATGAGAGTATAGCATGGCTCACATTCGAATGGACCGGTTCTCTCCTCCCATTTACCACTTCAAAATGGGTTAGCCATGTGCAAAGTATTAATGAGGAGTCACCCCAAACCATGTCCTGTGATTGTCTTGGGAGTAGAAGAGGAAGGAAAAGAGACAGGTAGACACAGCCTTGGTGCATGCCAACAGTGTGATAGGCACTGTATTATTTAAATAGTAGTCATCATACCAAATCAGTTCTGAAGCACACGCTCTGCTGGTTTTTATTCAGCTGTAGGAATTGCCTAGTTTGGACACTGAAATTATACATCCATGCATTGTTCCAAGGCTCTTTTGCAACTGAGAGAAAAGGTACTATGATGATATGGTTCATCTGGCATGTGAGAAAGGTTTACTTTGGGATAGGATGAATGCAGAGTTCTTGATTTCTGTTCACCTGCTGCACAGGGAACTGCATAGAAAGTCCTGGTACAGATGCTTCATCTTCATTGTTTCACATTAATCCCATCCATGACAACTCTGCTGTGATGTCAACATGAGGACGGAGCCACTCCTCTCCAAAAAAAGCTTCATGAAAAATTCGTAGAGGCATTTACCAACTTCTTAAAGCTTGACTTTGGAATTTAAATGGGTTTGGATAGTAATGGATGATCATGCTATTTTTAAAGTTGTTAAAATATACTTTAAAAAAATCAGAAAATGCATTATGAACTCATTGTCAATATGACCCACAGCTGAGGGTGAGAAACTTAAAATATTTTCACTGATTTACTATTAAGAATGTACATTCATTACCACTGAGAGGTGAGTTCCAGCAGGGAACAGTCATTAGCTTAGCCTTTGCACAAAGACAGCAGCCGCAATAAAAGGCCACTAAGAAACACAGCCTTGACATTTGGTTTCAGTACAGAGCAGTGTGTAAGCAACAAAGTCATGTCAATTATTTTGCACGAGGCACTACAGCTGGAATGCCATGCCATCGTGCTTTAACACAGTCGGAGGTCCATCTCAAGCCATGAGTGTTTATCATCCCAGCACAGAGGTGCAGTTAAGATGCACTCAAATTTTTGTGCGCCATGAAATGATTAAGGCACTGGAACATCTCCTTACAAAGGCAGGCTGAGAAAGCTGAGGACTGTTTAGCCTAGAGAAGAGAAGGCTCAGGCAGGGTGGGGGGAAGCTTATCAATGTTTATAAATATCTGATGGGAAGGTGTGAAGAAGATGGAATCAGACTCTTCTCAGTGGCACCCAGTGACAGGAAAAGAGGCAATGGGCACAAACTGAAACTCAGGAAATTCCACTTGAACTTAAGAAACTACTTCTTCTCTGAGAGAGTGAGTGAGCACTAGAACAGGTTGTCCACAGATGTTGCAGAGTCTGCGTCCTTGGAGATATTCAAAACTCAACTGGACATGGTCCTGGGCATCCTGCCCTAGCTGACCCTACTTGAGCAGGGCGGTTGGACCAGATGATTTCTGGAGGTCCCTTCCAACCTCAGCTAGTCTGTGATTCCTTATGCATCCATTTCCACTTTTTTTGTCGGCCACATCTTCACTTCTGCCTGGAAGGAAACACTGTTTCTTGTCACAGACATGCGCAGACCTAAAGCACACTCTGTAAACTCACCTTCAGTACTGCCAACAGTGAGAAAGGCTCAGGCCTACCAGTGAAATGTTCACAGAATCCTTGTGATTGCAAAGTCATCTTGCCTCTCCACAGGCCAGAAAAGCAGTCTTAGAAAACTAGCTTCTGTGTAGACATCTGCACAGTTGACATCTCAGTTTATGGAAGATGATTTCCACCCTGGCAGGCTGATTGAGATGCATAGTGCAAACTGTGGCCCCGTGTGCCTATTTGCACTGCAGGTATCGCAGCTGGACTCTTAGCATGCCTGGTGAAAACACATCCACATCTCTGACCTTAAACGATAGCAAAGGAGCCTTCCTTCCAGTGAATCTTCCACAAAGGATGTGCTCACATTTTCTTTCACAGGAGTAATATAGATAACAAGATGCCCCAGCCCTATAAACTGCTTTTAGTACAGAAGGATCTGTATCTTTAAGTGTGCCTACATTATCGCTTCCTGTCATTCACACTCTGTAACTGTCTATGTATCTAAGCTTCCTCTGCTCAGTGGAAAAAAAGCCTATCAGCAAACTATAGGTCACCTCCTCCTATGATAATAATCTCAGTCATACCATCCAGTTGACTTTCTAGAGGTGCACATGTTTTAACTGTAAAGGAAGCCCAGGCAAGGAGTTTTTATCCTAGCATCTAAGTTTTAGATTGCTGAAGTCAGAGGAGCTGAGTCCTTCGCCTGATGGGGAGAAACCATAAATTGTGGTATCTATGCAGTTGCTTGGGCTCCAGAGGAGGTCAGGGACTGGGAGAGATGGTCTTGTCTCATTACAGCAGTTCTTATCTGGCTGGCCATTCTTCTTAGGGTACATGTAACTTCTTTATTTCTCAGACTGTAGATTAGGGGGTTTAGCAGGGGAGTGAAGATCCCATACAGCATGGAAACAATCCTGTCCTGATTGGGTGAGTAGCTAGAGGAAGTCCGTACATACGTGCAAATGGTGGTCCCATAGAAAAGGCATACCACTGTCAAGTGAGAACCACAAGTGGAGAAAGCTTTGTGCCTGCCCTCAGCAGAGTTTGTGCACAGGATAGTCAAGAGGATATAGACATATGAGATCAACGTGACCAGAAAGGCACTGCTTCCAAGGATCCCAGCAACTGTGAGAATTACCAGTTCCCTAGTGTAAGTAGGAGAGCAGGAGATGGCCAGCATTGGGGGAATATCACAGTAATATTGGTCAACTTTGTTAGAATCACAGAAAAAGAGTGTAAAAATGAAAGATGTGTGCAACAAAGAATTCAAAAATCCTGCTATCCAGGTGCCAATGGCTAGGTGAGCGCACAATTTCATACTCACAATATTCAGGTACTGCAGCGGATGACATATTGCAACGTAACGGTCATATGCCATCACAGCCAGGAGGAAAATCTCTGTGCCTACAACATCAATCAGGAAGAACAGCTGGAGCATGCAGCCAGTGAATGAAATTACCTTGTTCTCAAACAGCAAGGCCTCCAGCATCTTCGGTACAGTTATAGTGGGGCATAAGATATCCAGGAAAGATAGGTTGCAGAGAAAGAAGTACATGGGGTTGTGCAGGCGAGTGTCTGTACTAATGGCAACAAGGATTGCGATGTTGCCTGCCAGGGTGGTCAAGTAGATGAGCAAAAAGAGCACAAAGAGAATAAAACGTACCTCCGGAGCATCAGAGAGACCTACGAGAATAAATTCAGATACTGTTGACACGTTGCACGTCTCCATCTTACTTTTCATTGTGGAAATGGTTTCAGAGATGGATCTGGAATAATGAAGGAATAACTTTGTCAAAATTGCATCCCTCTTTCAAAGAGTGGTTTTTGGTTTTTTTTTGGTCTGTGCAGCAGTTCAAAAACACTTGCAAGTTTGCCTCACCTCAGTCAAAAAAATTTGAACTTTACTCACATATACCTAATGTAAAAGGCAAAAAATAGGCATCAAGCTTACAGTGATTAATCAAGAAAGTTTACTTCATTGTGTGCAATTCGTCTTCTCAGACTCTGCAGAGCTGAATTGCTGAACACAAAGGTAACAATTTAAGCTCGTCTCCATCCACCATCTCTCTCTAAGGCATTTCCAGAGGGCCATTCTTTCTGTTGGTGTTAAATGCCTGTCCTAGCCCAGCGGTCCCCAGTAAGGATGTTAGAAGTAGTCAGAGATAGGGTCAATCTTACCTCAGTTCAGGTGGGTACAGTGAAGGCTTTAATAGCAGAGGTCAAGTCAATTTATCAAAGGATTCAACATCAGCCTTTAGAAGAGAAATTAAAGGGGAGACCCATTTGCAAAGTTCAGCTACTCATTGGGAAGTTATAAAGATGAAGTCAGGCTCTTAGAGATGCACAGAGAAAGGACAAGAGGCAACAGGAAGAAACTGCAGCAAGGGAAATTCCAAATAGAGATAAGAAACAAGAAAGTCACAGGAGTGCTACAACATTGGAAACAGTGCCCAGAGAGGTGGTGGCCACTTCATCCTTGGAGCTATTCCAAACTCAGCTAGACAAGGCCCTGAGCAACCCACTATGGCTTTGAAGGTAGCCCTACTCTGAACATGGAGGGGGTTGGAACAGAGACCTCTAGAAGCTCTTTCAGCTTAAATGATGTCATGATACTAATATCATCAAAGGAGTTTAGATGACTAGCTGAAACTAGAGACCTCATTTGTAGGTGAAGTCATGCTAGCACAAAGGAAGCCCACTCCTAGTAATCACCAGAAGGAATGGTGTAGCCAGAATGCATTTTACTCTTTCAGCTTTATCTGGTGGGATAAAAAATGGAATATAGTCCAGTATCTGATAAAAGACCTCACTTCTTTCCACAAATTTTGCCCCACAGGCTTTCATAACAACAGTATTGTCACTTTTAGGAACCAGTTGGGCATTTAATTTTTTCCTCTCTCCCAGTGCATAAAGTCTAGGCAGACATGGCATTGAAGAATCTTTCCATATACCTTGGATTACTATATTAAACAGTAACTCAGGACTTGCAGGAATGACACTTGCAGGAATGACTTACACACTGCTTCTATAATGAGAGCTAGCAAGAATATTTGAGCTGAATCTTATGCAGGAAATTCTTTACTGGTAACAGTCATAGCGATTCATTACTATGATCAGCCAAGTTGTTTCCAAGGAACACAGAGAAGAAAGAAAGTCTTATTCACCCCCTTATTTTGAAATCTGGATCGCAAGGATAAAATGGGGTAAATAACATAATACATTGTCACTTGTAAGAGATACAAAGAAACAACATAAAATAGGTAACTATTTTAATACGATGTAATTAATTACATTGTAATTAATTACAATGGAATCGTATTTAATAATCCTATTTTAATAGGTAACTATTTTTTTTATTTTTATTTTCTCTAACGCAGTCTAAAACAGTGTCACCTATTGTGTCTCATTCTCACAGAAGCTTATTTCTAGCTTGAAAGGGACCAAGGTCAGACCTTAAAATACCTTAAAAATGTTTTAGTCGGCAGGAATAAAAGGTACATGACCCTTTAAACCACAGCATCATGTATTATTAAAATAGGGAAGTTATTAAGGTGAAATACAATGGAAAGTTAACACAGAAATACTCACTGCTACAAGGAATTCATTACTGGTAATATACACTGATCTGTATCTCCAGGAAATGTAACTGCCCTTTTTTTTCTTTCCACATCTGATAAGAATATCTTCACATGACAGAAAAATGACTTTCACTGTTGACTTAGGAAACACCAATCCGTTAAGCAAGTGATCAATCCAGATTTGGCAGCATAGGAATATTCATATAGCTGTCCACAAACACTGGCAAAATCGCTTGCTTGATTGTGAGAGCAAGTGTCTCTTTTCTTTAATGAGGTTTCATAAATATGTGCTGAGGATAGTATCTGGGGAGGCGTGTCTCTGAGGCTTTCTTAAGTGCTAGCTTTATTGGGTATGCAAGGCTTTTTCAGAATATCATCAAAGGGTCAAGGAAAGCTAGAAATGTGATAAAAGTATTTCCTCATCCTGAATCCTTTGGTTCCTGTAGCTTTCGTGTTGTAGGACCTCTCTATAGGGCTGTGATTTGGTACCTAAGTCTACTCTCAGGAAAAGGAAATAGATGCTGTCTTTCTCTTTAGTTCCTAGAACTCTGCCTCACGGGCCCTTGCAGGTTACTGACATTTTATATCTCAGGAAAGTCCATCGTTTTAAGTGACTTCTTTACAGTAAACTACAGCCTTAGGAAGACTTGATCACAAACCATTTTGTCTTGGTATGAAGTCTGAAATCAATCACTTACATAGATTAGGCCAAAATAAATGAGACAACAGCTCCTCAGCAAAAGAATATACCTTAGGAAAGGGCAGTGGTAATATGTACGTTCAGAGTCTCTTCGCAGAGTAAAGAACAGACCCCGAATGACTGCTGTGGAAGTGTCATAATGGCTTTGCAAGGACAGCTAGCACAGCATCCTCTAAACTCCTTTTATGTTGATTTTCTGGACACTCACCAATTCTTTTTTAGGAGCAACCTTTTAATTTTGCATAGCCCCTCCTGAAATGACAAAAGGTAAACCACGTGTGGAATCCACGCACTACTTGAAGTGGATGTGTAACCAGGCATAAGAATGAGTGCTACTTTGGAGAACAATCAAAAATCCCATTCTTGTTCCAGAAAGCATCCATGCAGTTATTTACTGTAATACCACTTCCCCTCTGGATGCGCAGGGTGGTGTGTATGTTGCTATTCCAACACTACCAGCAAATAACTTCTGCAGTATTAACATGGATAATATGGTTTACCAGTCATTCCTAAAGCCTGTTCTCTACGTTTGCAGTGTGTGACTCTTAAAAAATTAAGACTCTCATGTATATGTTTGTTAGAAGATATGCTGGGGTTCACCAAGGTTTACCAAGCACAGGTCTACCCTGCAATGCTTGCAGAGACCTTCAGCTGGAATAAATTCATGAGGTCCAGTTCTCTTTCTGTGTACCGCAGTAAGCCCTAGGACCATCAGAAATCACATATCCCATGAAGTTTTGAAACAGGGAATGGAGCTAATCATTATTTAATAAACATAACAGATGTCAGAAACAGACACAGTGAACAGATAAGTCTCATGTATGCCTAGGAGAAGAACTAGGGCTGCACCCTTCCATCTTCCCAAACTGCCTTAATGCGATCTCCACTAACCGAAAACTTTCTGAGTTACCCGTCTTTTGCTGGACAACCACAAGAGGGCAATACTTCGTGTAAAATCTGTGTTGGATAGACCGCTCCAAAGTACGTTGCTGTACGGAAAGTGATGATATGCTAATACTAGCGAAACGAATGGACCTCCTGCTTGTGAGATAGTCCCTTTCTGGTATTAATGCTCTGAGAGTTTACATCTAGATCCCAGTGCTGATAATCCAATCTTGTTACAGTGCAATGTCTGATATTCTGCTAAACCATACATTGCTAGCCATCAGCATGAAGTACATGCTATAGCTAACTATCTCATCAAAAGGTAGACTTATAAAAGGGGATGGTATAGTTACGTATGAAAGCATAAACAAGTTCAAGGAGAGGTTCATGCCATGTACCTTAGAAACCTCTTTTAGGTTGGAACACACTGCCCCAAGGCGAGTGTCGCCCATGACTAGAAAGACCTTTGGGCTGCTGGCTCTCAACGCCACCTCTAGTTTTCACATTTGTAATTGTAGGGATATTCTTAGTTGTATTGCGTAATCAAAAATAGGACCATAGGTCAGCATCTGAGATATGTCCTTTGCCAAATCTAATCAGCCCTTCCAATTAACCAGGTTGGTTGTGATGTTGTTAGCCCAAGACTACAAAGGTCTAGGCTTGTGAATATGTGTTCACGAACCCCAGGATGCCTGTGAACTGTATGTGCCACTATCACATACCAAATGCAAATACAGTCTTGAAGCCCTCAGGAAAATCATCAGCAATTACCAAAAGCTTCCTCTGCTGTGTCTGTATCATGCTATTCTTTTCATCAATTTTGTACTACAGTTCCCAAGGCCTAGTGAATTTTTCATAAGTAGAATAGCATAAGAATTCATAAGACTTCATAAGAATAGCGTTACTACCCTCTATGTACTCTAGATCACACAGAATCACAGAATGGTTGAGGTTGCAAGGGACCTCTGGAGATCATCTAGTCCAATCCCCCTGCTCAAGCAGGGTCCTCTAGAGCATATTGCCCAGGACCACGTCCAGGTGGGTTTTGAACATCTCCAGCGAAGGAGACCCCACTGCCTCTCCGGGCAACCTGCTCCAATGCTCTGTCACCCTCACAGTCAAGAAGTTTTTTCTCAGGCTTAGGTGGAACTTCCTGTGGTTCAGTTTGTGCCCATTGCCTCTTGTCCTGTCGCTGGGCACCACGGAGAAGAGACTGGCCTCATCCTCTTGACACCCCCCCTTCAGACACTTATACTCGTTGATGAGATTGCCTCTCAGTCTTCTCTTGAACAGGCCCAGCTCTCCCAGTCTTTCTTCCTAGGAGAGATGCTCCAGTCCCCTCATCCTCTTTGTAGCCCTCCGCTGGACTCTCTCCAGTAGTGCCATGTCTCTCTTGTACTACTCCACATGTGGCCTCCCCAGGGCTGAGGAGAGGGGCAGGATCACCTCCCTCCACCTGCTGGCAACACTCTGCCTTTCCCCCCCCCCAGGATCCCACTGGCCTCCTTGGCCACAAGGCCACACTGCTGGCTCGTGCTTAACTTGTTGTCCACCAGCACTCCCAGG